TCTTTACAAAGACGCACCCGCTTATTGTACTCTTTTAGAGAAATTGGCTCTTTTAGGGAAATGCTCTTTTACATGCTGAGACACACAGGGGAAACGGCCGTTTGCAGCACGACAGGGGGTAGTGCAGCCTGAAGTGCGCAACCCCCTCAACACAGGAACGACCACAGCTGAAGCGCCGTCCGCCAACACCAAAAGCTCCCGAGAGCTCGCTAGACTCGTCACACACGAAGCAATTTGGAAGGAGCAGAATGATGTTGTCGCTCGGCTCCGAAGCAAAAAGTTGATATGCGTTGCACCGGCTGCCTTTTTATGCTCACGCTGTGATCAGCGGCAGCTGGATGCAATCGTCGCATGCCAATGTGCATTGGCTCATTTAGTTTACACTCTAATTGGATTGGTCTCTCTAAGCGAGATCCCAATTCGTCGGTCACCGACGTGACGTCTCCGTTCCCTCCTTCAGGGAACGAGGCTTGCATACGTAACCGAGATGTTCTGCAGATGTTTGAGCTTTATGCATAATCAGGGAAATCAAGTCTATCCACCCACCCATCCATATGTGTAAGTGCTTCCGAAACCTCCTTCGGGAAGGATGGGGCTTCCGCAACTTTCCTGTTCCAAGTGGTACGGGTACGTTTTCAAACGAGGCTTGCATACGTAACCGAGATGTTCTGCAGATGTTTGAGCTTTATGCATAATCAGGGAAATCAAGTCTATCCACCCACCCATCCGAACCCCTTGGGATGAGTCTTGGAAATAGAAGTAAATGTATTTGAAAATGTAAATGGCCTCTCGGGACATAAAGTGATGTGAGTCATTGATGTTCCCTTTGAAGTGTTCAGTGTTCTGCTGAGAGGCTGGATCAAGCAGATTGTTTTCAAAGGATTTGTAATTGGTTGCATTAGTAACATTAGAGGCAATTTGCAGTTTTTTTCTTTATTGGTTATACATGTTTTTTCTTAAACTACAAGGTGCACATCTCTGCCTCTTTATTTCTACTTCTTTCATCAAAACAGAAGAGAATAGATTTTGGGATATTGTGAATAAGAGACTGTCAAAGAATTCATACAAACATTTTGTCCCATTACAATATCAGCGGGCCGAAGACAGCCGTGTTTGCCTTTGGGGTCAGGGTTCTGTCACTTCAGTCTAGTGTTATTCATGATTTTGTGACGGAGCCCTGACCACTCCCATCATGTCATTGTTTTCATGTGAGCGCGAGGCTTCGAGAGTGTCCTGTTTCCTTGTTTCATGTTGGAGCATGGTGTTTGGATCCCGGCACTCATGTCTTGTTGAGTTTTGGTTTCGTGTCGGGGTCCGGACACTCGCGCTCCGTGTTCTGTCTTGTTGTGGGTCGTGTTATCGGCTGCGTGCTTTCATGTCGTGTTGTGTCTTGTGCTGTGTAGCACGCAGCTTGGTTTTCGCTGGCTGCGTGCTGTCTTGTCTTGTGTGAACTTATGAGTCTTGTCTTGTGTGAACTTACTTCTTGGCTTATGAGTATTCTCATTAGCTGCGTGTTCGTGTCTTGTTTTGTTCAAGCACATGGCTTGTGATTGTTTCCTGCCATGTGCTCTCATGTCAATTGTCTTGACCCCACCCATCTTGTTACCTGACTATTGGTTAATTTGCCCCACTTGTGTTTCCCTCGTTACCCTCCTCATTTGCTCCCTATTTATTCTCCTTGTGTTTGCAGTCCCATGCAAGTTTGTCATCGTACATTGCATGTATGCTGTTGTGTCCTGTCAGCCTTGTCCTGATCCTGCCTTGCCTTATCGTGCCAGCCTGTTTTTCCCCCACAGGGTAGTTTTTGTTGTTGTTGTTTTTTTTTACATTTTATTAATAAAAGCCCATCTCCTGCATCAGTGAGTCCTCGCCTTATCCCCTACCCTGACATTTGGTCGATTTAAATGGCTCTAAATAAGAGGGTATTGTTGTTGCCTTGGCAACATGCTAGACAATTTTATGTAATTTAAAGAGGGCTTGCTTCAGAAAAAAAGAACCATTTTCACCTCTGTGTTCTCTGACTGAAAACAATCATTTAACATTGATCATAACCACAGCATCAACCCTTAGTTAGTTTTATAGGATTCTGTTGCTATAAAAACGGTGCATTAGATTTTATAATGCAATTTAATGCATTTCAAACATGCTTCCCTGCACTATTCAAAATCTGTATGTACATTACAAACAGCTGCAACCTTTGTAAACTCCACTCTGTAAATTTCAGCATTTCCATGAGGAACCTATTATTTGACCTGTTTGGTCTGCTTGATGAAAGGGGAAAATAGATCTATCTATCTATCTATCTATCTATCTACCTACCTACCTACAGCTTGTATTACCATATATCAAATTATTCTTTGTTTGCATAAAAATGTCTATTTCTTTCTTTCTTTCTTTTTTTCAGGTTGCTCTCTATGTGTTTGCATAAATGTTTTTAATTAATGTATTTATTAATTTTTTATTCATGTGTTTGTTTTTATTATTATTATTATTTTACCAGAAACAGGTTGTATTACTATATATATATATATATATATATATATATCATGTCTCTCTCTCTCTCTCTCTCTCTCTCTTTATTTATTTATTTATTTTAACCAGAAATAGAAATATTATATATAACAGGGTGCTCTCTATATGTTTACATTTTTTTTTTATTATTATTATTTTTTTATTTTTTTAATGACTTCATGTATTCAATTGTTTGCAGTTGTGTAATGGAGGGTCTGTCACAGATCTGGCTAAAGGTATGTTGAAAAGAGGAGACCGCATGGAGGAACCCATCATTGCCTACATCCTACATGAAGCAATCATGGTAAAATCCAAAACAAGCCCCGATCCTCAATATTTTAAAATATTTACACAAATGTATCTTTTCAGTGAGCTTGAGTCAGTAACATGTGCTCTTGTCTCTGAAGGGTCTCCAGCATTTACACATCAATAAGACCATCCATCGAGATGTCAAGGGCAACAACATCCTGCTCACCACAGGAGGAGGAATCAAGATGGTTGACTTCGGTGAGGAAGTTGTTCTTTTATTGGGAAGGGACTGCTGGCTGTGAAAGAGAAAGCCTGAATGAATGAGTGTGTGTGCTTGTGTGTGAGTGAGAGCCCGGATAGCTTGAAAACAGTGTTTAATACATGGGTCAAAGCCATTAAATGTGAGCATTTCAGTGCTAATTGAATAGCACTTATTTATTCTCATCAAGAGCAGTGCATTTACTTGTAAGGTGATGATGGATGTCTAACACGCTTGCATTAAAGCCCCTGTCTGTCATCATGTCATTGGTACAGAGGATATTGTCTGCTTTCAGTTACTAATGATTTGATTCTAGCTTTTCTTAACCAAATGAAGCTCTCTTAAATAGAGTGTGTTAAAACAGAGCTGCATGATGAGATGCAGTCATACAGGATGTAATGATTCCAGTTCACCTTCATGGTTCTGCTTCCTTAACAGTTGCATGAACAATTATTTTACTAATTTAAGGACGAATGGACAGTGTTTGTATTCACCACTCTGAGCTGCCTGTTGTCAAATGTTGAAATCATTTCAGATTTCAACAGAAGGCTGAATGTCTGACAAGATGCACATTAAATATCGCATGCGATTTATCGTGCAGCCCTAGTATGAAGGTATATATATATATACTGTGTGAAGATAGAAATGTATCAACCAGTTGTTATTTGTTTTTGTTTTTTTACCATTGATATTTTACAGTGGCTTTCAGTGTGGTTCATTCAATCCAGAGTCATTACCCATTTTATAATAATTTTTTTTTTTCACTTTCACTCAAGATTTATCATTCATAGAGAATATCGATCATATCATATCGTATCGTATCGTATCAAATCAATCAATCAATAATATCCATTGCATCTAGCAGCTTCACCATTTTTGTTGTCCTAAACTCATGCTTTGAATTGAATTTCTCAGTATATTACAGTGTATGTGTAGACTTTACAATTCACTATTCACAATATAGCACTGCCTCTCATAACTTATTACTTAATGAATCTGTCCTAATCTGTGAAAAATGCAGATGTTTCAGAACCATTCATTGAGCCAAATGTAAAAAAAATCAGTTAATCTGTATTTTCTCAAAAACTATACTAGTTCGAAATAAAACCATCTCTTGATTTCCAAGCATACATGTAAATATAACAGTGAAATATACCATTCCTGAATGCCTCTTTTCATTACTCATTAAGAAAACGTGTGGCCTTTTCATTGAGGCAGTAAGTGGAGCATTTTAAAGAGCCTCTTCCAGAACAACATATGAGAGCTTATAACCCTTTAGAAAGCCAGTAAATGCTTTTCCTGGGAATAAACAGCCAATCACAGGCTTTTGTGATGTGGCACACTAATGTTTGCTATGCTCCACACGTTCCCTTCATCCCCTTCACTATTAATTTCCCAACCTAAAATCCACTCTAAATGTAATCTCTTCTTACATTATTCTCTAGGCCGCATTTAGCCCCTGAGAG